GGCATCATTGCATATCTTGTGCTCACTTCAACTCAGTGCCCCTCATTACTTCGTAGAGCGTGATAGTGTGTTGCTTGGGTTCATGTAGATGAGTATGGGATATATGAATGCGCAATAAGAAATCTATCACATTTTGGTAATTGTTTAATAAAAGGAGATATCTCTCAAAGCCACTTGAAAGTCCATCTCAAAAAGCTCTGCCCAGGTAGAGTCCTTATTGATCAAGCTATGCTTGTAAGAACTACTTCAACATGAGATGCATCAAGGTGATCATAGAAGACTACATGTGATTTGACATAAATCCATGTCACATAAATCTTGATTGGGATATGAATGATAAAAGGATCATATTGCATTGTAACTACAATCAAGGTTTGAAAAAGTATCTTGATTGTATCACAAATACTTCTATCTAATCTGGATAGGCATAACATGCTGCTAGGTGTCACTATTGACTTGTAGAATTAAATTAATTTATTAATTAATTTCATTGTCGGCTTTAATTAGAACCTAAAAGGTCACACACCTATGATAATACTAACGACGTTACATGGATGATGATAAAAATAATAATTGTTAGTTATATTGGATTTATTATTTGGCATATTGGACATGTTATAATTAAAATAAACATTGGGTTTATTTAATTAAAAGGGGTCCAAGTACCAAGCCTAAAATGGGCAAATCACTGGGCTTGACACAAGACACGAAACATATGTCAAATCCTAAAGGAGGTGCGGCATAGGGGGTGCAGCAAGAGGTCTATATATACCCCTTGTCTTTTTTCTCATAAGCTAAGTGAAATCAGTTTTGTCCCTCAGAAAAGAAAAGAAAAAAAAAAAAAAAAAACAAATCCTATGCCAAAACACCATAGTGTGCCGCTCAAATACATTATTCCAAATGAGTGATCTTGCTAGCACAATCGAATTCCTCACTCCATCTTTCGTCATTGGTGTATCAGTGTGAATGCTCCTAGAGACTCAACATTTGAGGAGTTTTCTCGTGAAACGTCATGAAGAAGAAGAAACACAAAGATGATCCTACAAAGCAGTACACAAGGGGATGAGGATTCAACTAATTTAATTTTTTTTTCCTTTGTTCTTGTAGCATTATTAATTACAACTAACTAAATATATAATCGAATTGCATATTGTATATTTATTATCATTTTTTTTTTGTTGCATATTATTATTATTTGAATTAAGTTTATCCTAATAATAGGCCCAAAAACTAGACCCGGCAGTTTCTTACACAACACGATGACACGACATAAAAATAACGAGTTTCGGGTGTCACATCCCGGCCCGGGACGGATCACTTCCCGGGCCCGCTCCACCACCTAGCACGATATTGTCCGCTTTGGGCCCCGACCACGCCCTCATGGTTTTGTTTCTGGGAACTCACACGAGAACTTCCCGATGGGTCACCCATCCTGGGAATGCTCTCGCGCGCTACTCGCTTAACTTCGGAGTTCCTACGGAACCCAAAGCCAGTGAGCTCCCAAAAGGTCTCGTGCTAAGTAGGGATGAGAATATACATTTAAGGATCACTCCCCTGGGCGATGTGGGATGTCACAGTTATACTTACATTATTGTTTAGATTTTTAAAACCCTTCAAACCTTCATGAATAGTATTTTTTATTTAAGCGTAAAAGTAATAAAATTAATAATAATTATTGTAGAAGTGTAAGAAATGTAATATATATATATATATATATATATACACAATCACTCATGGTGACAAGCTTTACAATTTTCGTGAAGGAGTCAACTTCGAAATCCGACACTATAATCCATAAACCTTAAATTTGTATTTAACCATCGATCGTCGTTTAGGCTTTATTCTTTATATTGAATTTCATTTTTAAAATTTTCTTTTTTGAAGACATGATCTTCTGGGGGATGTAGGAAGATGAACGGTTCAGATCTTTAATAGATATTTACGGTTAATTGAAATATGAGTCGATGTTATATAGTTTGTAGAGACTTTATAAACACCAAACAATATTTTCACTAATGGTAAAACTCTGAACATAATATCAACGATCTGAACCGTTCATCTTCCTGTATACTATAATAGATCATGTTTTCAAAAAACAAAATTTGGTGAGAAAAATGAAGCATAAATGTAAACAATAATCGACGGTTAAATTTTGATCTATGATTTATATGATTATAGTGGCACATTTCAAAGTTAAGCCCTTCACGAAAATTGTAAAGCTCGTCATTACGAGTGTTTATATATTTTTCTATATTTTTCACACTTCTACATTAATTAAAAAACTATTAAAGACTTTACTTAAACAATAGCCATATGATAAATGAGAAGAGAGTGCTAATGTATAAAACCTCATTGAAAATATCATCAATATAACTCTTGAAGACAATATATCAAGCTAAAGTTCCAATACCGTTTCCCATGGTGATTGATGAAAATTGAAGAGTTTGATTGTAAGAAAATGTGCAAGGTTCCAAACCTTGAAACATAACTCTCTTAATTTTGCAAATCTTTTGAACATTTGATATTTTGTAATGTTCTAATGTTTATTTTTTTATTTTTTTTATTATGCTCTTATTTTGGGTATGTAAATATGTAATGCTTGAAAGACAAATGCGTTTTTATGTTTTGAATGTGATAATATGATATGTTTATATTTATTTAGTATTATGTTTTTCATTTGATTATTTATTGGTTTAAAATATATTTCCCCTAATGGGTAACATGTCGGGTCATAGTACCTGTTAATATTATCGAGTCGATTTCGGGTCGGGTCATTTTACCCGTTTATTTTAACGGATGTTACACGATACGACCCGTTAAGATATCAAATATAATACAAAAACGACATGAACATGAAAAACATGATACGAATGCCAGATCTTCCAAAAACCCAACAAGCACTTCATCTAGTCGAGTCGTTGGGCTTCTGGCCACCAAGATTTGGTTAACTTTAATGTTAAGAATGCTGGATTCGATCTTTTATATGGCAATGATCATATGGTACAGGCTTCTGTAGATCAGGCTAGCACTAGCAGTGCTGCGTTGAATAACTTTCTTGGTTGGCATCTCGATGCATGGAACCCTAATGGTGGTGGAGGCTTTCCATGAAGAGGTTTATGATGGTTTTAAATATTAAGTCAGAGGCATAAAACAGAGAGTTATGATTTTGATTAAGAGAAATGTTAAAGATACTCTCTTAAAACTGGGATTTTCTGTCCACCACCTCATATTTTTTGCACAATTCTCGTACCGATATTATAAAATATTATGTCAGAAAAATATGAGGCGTCGGAGAGTTCTACTTTGAGAGAGTTATATTATGTTTTCTCTGTTAGTTTGCTTTTGTTCTGTTAGGTCTTATTTTTGTTTATTGCTTTCAAATTATTATGAAGAACAGATGTCAAATAAGCCTACTGGCTAGTCAAGTTAATGAAATATTATGTCTTTTATCTACTGTTCTTTTGAAAATTTATTTTGAATTAGAGAAATGCTAAAGAGACTTTCTTAAAGTGAGACTTTTTATAGATTATCCGTCACCTCATATTTTTTGCACAATGTTTTATAATGTTGGCACGCAAAATTATGCCAAAACATGAAGTGCCTGAGAGTCCCACTTTTGAGAGTGTCTTCTTAGAGTCTCTCTTTGGGTTAACTTCATTTTACAATTACACCATTAGATTTAGGGGTCATTTTCAAAATGAGTCACGGGGTTTTGAATTTTTTATTTTACACCACTTGATTTTTGAATTGTACAAATTTAACCTCTCAGTCAATTTCATCGTCTAATTAGCAAGTCTATGCCACATCAACACGTAACGTCTAATTAGACAATAAAATTGATGGAGAAGTTAAATTGGTGCAATTCAGAAACCACATGATGTGAAATGCAAAAATTAAAATCTAATGACTCATTTTGCAAATTATCACCAAATCTTGTGGCGTAAAATGAAGTTAACCGATCTACTTTTGTTTGGATCCAATAAAGAAACAAATACAACAAAGGGTACTTGAAAGTTGGGTTAAAAAATTGTGCTTGGATGTATTGGGTTTATAAGAATTGGCATCTGATTTAATTAGAAAATTAATTTATCTAGGACCAACTTGCTATACTATTCTTGAGTTTGCAATATTAAGTATAATGTCATATCTAATGATATTTGTTTTGTGTAATGCTATTCGGTGTAGTTCCTTTGTGTGTGTGTGGTTTTCTTTTCTTTTTTTTTTTTTTTTCATGAAAGACTATTCAAATACTAGTTTTCATTGAAAAGTATGACAAAGCTTAATAGGAAAGGGTTCAACAGCGTGTGGTTTTTTTTTTTTTTTTTTTTTTTGTTTTCATGAAAGACTATTCAAATACTTGTTTTCATTGAAAAGTATGACAAAGCTTAATAGGAAAGGGTTCAACAGCACGCTGTTTAACTTTTAACCATAAAGAAGAATATCTGGATTTTTAGCCCACTGTATTATAGACAAATTACAGTTTACAACTGCAAGCATACATTGAAAGAATCCTCATAAAGATTAATACGATCATATTATAAAAATTCACGTGCCTCTATCACGTGACAACAATTATCGTTCGTTTTGTAGATGCCGCATTAGACGATCATTTTGCCAATGATGAAGGTAATATTATTAAGTTACTAATGTTTTCACATTCTGACACTTTATGGTTTATACACGTGCCTTTCATTATAAAAGTTAATCACGTGTCTTCTATCATGTGTCAGTGACGATCGCTTTACTGATAATAAAGGTAATTATTAAGTTGCAAATGCTTTTCACAATCTGACACTTTTATGGTTTATACACATACACAGTTTCCGATTAATTTCTTTATATAAAATGTACCTTGGTGATGATAATGTCTATTAATATCATCACCTATACATACAAAAAATGATGCTGTCAATTAGGTACATATTACGTCTACACTTCTATCTTCACACACATCATGTATATGTAAAGGCTGATGCAGACTGGAATATATCCTCCAATGCCTAATTCCCACGTACGCATCGTCTCATCAACTTTCTTAACCATCGTTTGCTGTTGTGGGGAATTGGCATTCCATTTCCAGACGATGTCACTGATTCAGTTGGTTTATCTTCAAATTTGCTTTCTCGCGTTCTTTGGTCTGTTGCTTCAGCTTCAGACTGGCCAGAAGCAATTACTCTTTCAGTACACTCGCCTTGCTTCTGCAGAGACAACAAGATTACATGAAATATCCATATACCTTCACATTATTATATATATATTATTTGGTATAATGTTCATTTGCCACACTGTTTGCAAATGTTCATTTGCCACATTGTTTGCAAATGTTGATTATGTACACGAAATATGTATCTGTGGTCTTTAAACATACATTTTTTCTCTTACAGCAAAACCCTAACAAAACAACACTAGCTAGGGTAACATCTACAAACCTGGTCGCGACGAGGCTGTGACTCCGAATGGGAAGACACATACTGAAAAATCTCAGAAACACCTTTGTGGCCATAGCTCAGAGCCTTTTGGCAACAGTAGTTTGCAATATCCCCAGTCTTAACCCTAAACTCTAATATTTTGCTATCAATCTCTAACTCATGTTGTGAAACAAAATTCCGGAAGAAGTGATTGTAAAGATAGCTCGTTCCCTGCAAAGTTAATTAAAACATTCAGTATTATAAAACTAATTGACAATATGGAGAGTAGTTCAATCTCATCAAAGGCATGTTTCTCATAAAAAAGCATGATTAATTCTACGATAAATTTGAGAGGATTGAGGATGATGCTTACTTTCACTTTAGAAGACCAGAGGTATATTAACAATGCCAATTTGGCTTCACAGTATATTGGTAACCTTAAAAAAAAAAAAAAAACAAAGATGGAGAACAATGAGTCAATAATGGGAAATTAAACGCCTATGGAACACTAAATTCACATCACAAAAACTAGAAAATTATATAATAAAAAAGTTATGTTAAGTTCTTCACCTTAGATAATATCGTATGTATTAAAATATAAAATTATGAGACTTGACTTAACGTGACAATGTAAATAATTATTAGATGAAAAGGCTTAAAATTGAAAAGAATCAATTATGTATATCAAGTCAACACATAGGTTTACTCGCTACATTCATTTTAACTATTCCCCACACGCATTATATGAGATATTAATCTGTACAAAAGTGTACGAAAGTTTCATTGTATGTAACAAAAAATTACTAGAAATATTGCTGAGTTCTGTAAGCAAATTCTTTACCATGCAAATAAGGCATCCCCAATTCTCTCCAATACAGTAAGCATAGCAACTAGTATCCTGCAAAACAAACCCATATCGAAGGAGAAACCCTAATATCAATTAAAAAAAATGAATGATCAAAATAATTTCAAAATATGAAAAGTGATTATCCATGTACATTATGCATACATACCAGTACTGGCACCAAAATACAAGTTGCTCAATATCTGGCTTATTGTTCTCCAGAGTCTTATAGCACTCATACGCCGGGTAAGCGTAACCAAACACCATCCTGTAGTAAACAGAAACAAATTTATATTACTAATTGATTAATTTCCAGGAAACTAAGAACGTACACCTGGGATGGAACAAACCTAAACGGAGTTCATTTGATTACTTACACGAAAACCCTTGGAAGAAAAGATTCCACCATTGTGACTCTGATATCGCATGTACAGATTAATTGGCACCTTCTGTATCTGCATTTGTGTGAAAAAAAGGAAATTACAGCGACGTAAAAGAAGTAATTCGTAAAGAAATTAACCAAATTGAAAACAAGAAGAGGATCAAGACCCTGAAGACTGAAGTGAGTGTGAGTTTCAGAAGGAAAGGTTCGTAGGGGAACGAAAAACCGTCTCATACTTATAGGTCTTGTTCGGTTTGTTTCAAACACGTCGCACGAAAAGGTGCCACGGGCCGAAACGCTGCTACTCAAATTGCAAATTTGAGCAATTGGATCAGATTAGGCTATTACTCAACTTGCAGGCCCAGACAAATTTTAGAAGAATGTGGGCACCCCAAGAGCCATTAGAAAAAGGGCCGGTCCAGGAATCTTAACCCATGTGTTTATAGTGTAAAATTTCGATTTGTTTAAGAGAAATTAATGGTAAAATTTTTAAACAATATTACTTTAATTTTTAATTTTTAATTTATGATGATACAAGCTATAATTTTTAATGAGAAGCTTTTAGATTTAATAACGTATTATTATAACTTCATTATCAATACAAGATAAATATCAATTATAATCCTATTTTGGTGGGTACTAGAAAGCATTATAGCATCTCCAATTATGTTCTCTATTTTATAGCAATTTTTTTTGTTAAAATCATCAAAATTTTCTTTAAGAGCTCTCTAAAAAAGTTGTACTCCAACCATACTCTCTACTGTAAGGAGTCATACTGACTATGAGTCAATAATTAGCCAATAAAAATTAATTATTTATTTACCATCTATGCTAAAAAAAGTGATTCACATTTTTCCCAAACTAGTATCTTAGTAACTAAATACAAATTAAGAAAGAACAATGACAACCAAGACTAATAACTTATTAGGTGGCTAGAGACACCTGTCTCCCTCAGTCCCAAATTCGATGTACCCAAAACACAATAAATACCTCCCTCACTACCACCAACTACACACAACAATCAATTGAGTGTGTTAGCCATGGCTAGGACGAGTAGGGGTCGCCAAAGAGTGCCAATGACAAAGATTACGAATGAGGCTAGTCTCCAAGTCACATTCTCCAAGAGGAGGAATGGCCTTTTCAAAAAGGCCAGTGAGCTCTGCACCCTGTGTGGTGCAGAGATTGCCCTCATGGTCTTCTCACCGGGCAAGAAAGTTTTTTCCTTTGGTCACCCGTGCTTTGAGACGTTGATTGATAGGTTTGAGGGCAGACTCTCACTCGCCCAGCTGACCATGGGTCATGATATGCAACAGATGCTTGAGGCTTACCGAAGCGTGAGTTTGAATGTTTTGAGCCAAGACCTCACAAAGGTGATGGTGCTAGTCGACAACGAAAAAAAGCTCGGGGTCAACATAAGCCAAACAATGAAGGAGAGTATGTCAGAGAACTGGTGGGAGCACCCGCTGGAAGAGATTGAGACCGACAGGCTTGAGTTTTTAAAAACTTATATGGAGGAGCTCGGGTGCAAAGTGAACGAGACTAGAGGCAAAATGCTTTTGCCCCAAGTTTTTGAGACCGCCAATGATAATACTAACTTTTTTGTAGGGAGCTCGTCCTCAAATACTGCTACTGGGCCTTATGATCAGATGATGCAGACTCATGCAAATCAGCCTAGTAGTAGCACTGGAGGTGGGTTAAATGAAAACACTTCTACTTGGCCTTTCAGTGCTTGGAACCCTAGTCTTGGTGGAGGGTTTCTCTAAAGAACAGCAATCATTTTACAGTTCTTGCAATTAATTAAAAAAGTTAGTTATCGTGTGACAATAATAACGGTTTTGCAGTTTCTGCAATTAATTATAAAAAAGTTTCTAACGTGGCTTCTATCATGTGATAGTAGCAATCGTTTTGCAGATACTGCAATTAATTATTAAGTTATTAATTATATCTTCTTAGTCTCATGTGCTTACGGGTTGATATACACATACGTAATTTTTTTTGTTTTCTTTATTGAATAATAAAAACCATATTCTTGAAATCGCGTAAATAGTGAGAAAAAGTGACAAAATAAACTAGTCTTCAAATAAAATAAGAGCACATTTCTTTCAGTATAACCAATACACAACAAAAAAAATTATAATTTTCCTCAACAATATAACAAGAAAAGGTTAGTAAAAAATGGCTAAGGAGGGTGAGGAGGATGAGGAGGATGAGTTTATTAGCTATCCTGATCCTGCTACAGAATAAGGAGGATGAGTTTATTTAAAGACCTTCTCCAAATGGATGTTTCTCTGTTAAATCAAATTGATAAGGATCGCAGTGCACCTTTCAAAGACTTGCTACACAAAGTATGGAAACTTAATATACTACATAAATTTAAATTTTCTACTTGGTTAGTTATAAGAAATAGACTTTCTACAAACAAAAGCTTAGGTAAACACAACCCTAATGGTCAAACTCTTTGCCCCTTATGTAAGAATGCAAAGGAATACCAGTTGCACCGTTTTGTTTATTGTGCCCAAGCTTAAGAAGTTTGGAAATTATGTATTAATTTGTTTCATTCATCCTCAATTACAAGCATTTAAGGACTGGTTAAATAGGCTTTCAGACTTAGATAATGATGATCTTTCTAATCTTAGTAAGTTGTAATTCTTTGTTGTCAAATGTGGAATGATAGCCTCATCCGACTCGTAGTCCAAGGACGAATGCTACACTTGGCAAGGATTTCTAGAATGCAAAATTGAAACAGAAGCCCAACAAGCCGGAAAATGTTGCCAACCCTATCACATGGAAAGCTCTCGCAGAAGGTTTCTACAATCTCAATTTTGATGGTTCGTTGGAGTGAAATTCAGCTGCAGTGGTTTTATCATTATAATTACTGGTTTGGTATTGCGGTGCTTTTAGGTATATAAAAAAGCTAAGCTTAAAAAGGTGTTTGGTAAACACTTAAAAACAGCTTATTTTCACAGTTTTGGATGAAAAAAAAGCTGAAAACGTGAAGTAGCATAAATGTTGGATTATATGTTGAATGTTGGATTATGATTTCTTGTTAAACGTTAGATTATGATTTTTTGTTAAACGTTGGATTATATGTTTAAGATAAAGTTTATAAATATTTTTCTTTTAAAAAGAAAGTATATATAGTAATTCATCTTTATTTGTTAAGAAAATTAAATTAATGGCATATCTAATATCATACCCTTTTTACTCATTTCACATAATTACAATTGTTTTACATAAAAGTTTACCAAATACTATAATACTGTTTTTTTTCTTTCCAAAAGCACTTTTACAAAAAAAAGTTTACCAAACACTCTACTGCTTTATTTCACAACTGATTATTCTCACAGCACAATAAAAAGAGTTTTTTTTTAAAGCACATCAATACCAAACTAGTCCTAAATCATTAGCCTGCCTTTGCTGGTTCTCGTCATCTTGGACCTAATATTATTTCCATGGCAGAAGCATTGGCTTTTCGAGATGCTCTGAATTTAGCAGAACATCGTCAGCTCAAGAAGATCATAGTGGAAGGAGACTCGAAGATGGTCAATGATGTCGCCTCTGAAAAGTTTGTAGTGCCTTGGAGAATTAGAACCATTGTTGATGATATAAAATAGCTTGTTTCCTCGTTTGAATCGCTTGAGTGGAACCACGTTTATAGGAAATCAAACTTTACCATAGATGCCATTACTTCTATCAAGCATAAATGTAATAATCTTTATATTTGGGACGGGTATGTTCTTCCCCAAGCTAAAACACTCTTTTGTATGACTCTCGAAGTCTTGGATGTTACCGAAGTATCTTTTTACATTAATTTTACCATTCATCTAGAAAAAAAAAAGAAAACTAATGAAAAGAACTTGAAAATTTTGAGTTTTAACAATAAAAACAAAATAAAAGGTAAATTGAATAGTACCAGGATTGAATTTTTAATATAAAAATATGATTTTTCGTTAAAGTAAACAGAACCGAAGACTTCTAGTTAAAGTTCAAAAAAAAAAAAAAAAAAAAAAAAAAGATGGCTACAAAAATTGATATCGGACTGGATATTTTTGGGCCTACAAAAGAATTGCTTTATCTTGGGCCGCAGTCCAAAAATAAGAATTCAATGCATCGGCGGCAAAGACGGCAGGTGACGACAGCCCGCAAACCAAAAACAATTCATAGCCAACAGAATGCAGAATAATAAAAGCCAAACCGGAACCAGGAATTTTGCCACGTCAGCAGCAAATGGATGAGCAACAAAAATAACGGATTAAATTAAAAGCAAAGGCAGTTGGTTAGTTTCTCTTCAGTCCTCTCCTCACTCACCATTTCTGATAGCTTCTTCCTCCGCTCTTCTTCTTCTTCTCTCTCTCTCTCTCTCTCTCTAGGAGATGAGCTTCTCCGCGAAGCCTCAAACCCTAACCCTCATCTCATGCACTCCTCTCTCTTCTTCTTCCTCTTCCCATCGCCGATCGATTCGTAGAGACTTTCTCGGCTGCGGCCAGAGCCTCCGCCCGCTCGCCGGCGGTCTCCGCTCCCACAGAGAACGCAGGAGCTTGGACGGAGGTCACCGCACTCCTCCCTCGAAGTTTCTCATCAGAGCTTCTCTGGATTCGCATTCCCTCCTCGTCGTGGTCGCCGTCGTCACCTTCTCTGCTGCCTCCGTCGTCTACTTCAATCGCTCCGTCAAGCCCCGGAAGAATTTTGATGTTGGGGGCAGAGAGATTAGGGAGGTTAACGGTAAAGCTCCGATTGAAGAGAATCAGATTCTTGGTTTTGATGGTTTGAGCGGCAAAGTTGAAGAAATTGAGACGCCGGCGCCGACGCCGGTGCTGCAATTTCACAATTCAGCGCAGGAGTCGCTTTCTCCTTTGGTGTTCGAATCAACCGCGGTGTTTGAACCGCTTCGTTTCTCTGCAGAGTTGGCACAGCTGCAGCAACAGGAACGGTCTGAATGTGTTGATTACGACCCAATTTCTGAGGAGTTCTCCAAATTAGTAGGCGAATCTAATTTCGGCGTGGCTTTGGAGGCTGATTCTGTGAGTGATGAGGAAACCGATGAAGGCGATGAAGAAGATGAAGTGGATGAAGTCAGTGAAGTGGGTGAAGCTACTGGATTTCCTTTGCTTCATAGAGAATCAGTGAGGGAAGAGCTTCACATGTTTTATGAGGGAAACAAGTCTGAGACAAAATCAGAAGCAAGCATGAATGGTAAAAAATTATCTTCATTTTTACGAAACAGCACTATGACAGGGGCCGGTTTACTGCCACAAGTTTCCGATCACACTACAGGTAATGCCATTGCCAGAAGAAAACGACCATATTTTGATATCTATATGGTAATTTGAACAAGTAAATTTTTTGGATTAATTTGCGGAAGTCTTAGAAATTTGAGTTTTTTTCCCATTTTACTGACTTTATAAAAAGGGTATTTGTTCAGAGTCTATGGAAGGAAAGATAGATAGTGCTAGTTATAAAGGAGTTCACAGCAGAAAGGACTTGGGAAATGGCAGTGGATATTCAAGCGACCAAGAAGTAAGACATTCGGCTACCCAGATTCCCCACCCAAATGGTATTCTTACAAATGACAGAGATATTCTATCAGAGCAATTAGGTGCCTACCATCGTTTGCTTAAGGATGGGAGGTACATGTTATCTTTCACAAGCTTAATTTCAACTTACGAATTTGTAAGAATGGTTTTGGATTTTTATAGTAACTTTACATTGGTTGAACAACAATAAAATTACTGAGTGTAATGTATTTGAAATGACTAAATATAACCAATGTGAATTTTCGTAATTTTTTGGTTATACCCCTCAATAACACAGTTCTTTGCGTTTTAAACATCCTTATGAACTTTAGATATTAACTTACTGAAATCCCTAGATATGAATTCTCAGATCCCAAATAGAGTTATTTTGACATAGATTCTTGATTGTCCATATAAGTTTGTCTGTTTTCCATGTATCTTATCTAAAAGCTGATCGTTGAATAATACGGGCTTTTTAGGTTAGCCGACTCTCTAAAGTTGCTTGAAGATTTGCAAAGAAGGGGTTTGTTGGATATGAATAAGGTAAGGATGTAATCAGTTAATGATTCGTTCTTGTCTGTTCATTTTCTATATTTTATTGAGTTTTCTTGCATCAGGTTTATCATGCAAGGTTTTTTGAAAACTGCAAATCGAAAAAGGCTGTTGATGAAGCTTTTCGTTTCATTGAACTGATTCCAAATCCAACATTGAGTACATACAATATGCTCATGACTGTCTGTGCAAGTTCTCAAGATTCAGAGGGTAAATTTTTTTATACACTATATCAGAGCTATTAATCGTTTAGCGTAAAGTCAGTTCATGATATCTTTGTTGTGGTTTTAGGAGCTTTCCAAGTTGTGAGACTTGCTCGGGAGGCTGGACTGAAGCCCGACTGCAAACTTTACACCACTCTGATATCAACATGCGGTAAAAGTGGAAAAGTGTACACGATGTTTGATGTATGATATCTTCCATTCTGTTTGTATTTTTAGATTGTTTGAATCTCTAACCGAAGTTTTCTCAAACAAAGTATTATCTCTTATAGTCCCAAATTCCCAATTACTGCCAGGGCTGGCAAGTTCTCCTTGTTTGGCTTGTTTTATAATTTATATGGAGAAGGAATTTCTGATCCTCAGAATTTTTCTACTTGCAAAAATTGAAGCTGATATGCCCAGTCCTTTAAGTGAAGACCATCAAGTTGACTTTCTGTTAGTAATACCTGAAGATCGATATAAATTGATTCTCATCTATGCCTCAATTGGAATTCTAGTATCAGCTGTTATTTTTTTTTGAAGCTTTAAATTTGATTTCACTTAAACTAAGTATTGATATTTTCACTATGTTTTCCATTTATGACTTTTGTAATTAATGAATGCCCAGTTGGTAAATGGTTGTCTTCTTTTTACTATACGTCTTGAACAGAACCTCTGCATAGGCGTCTTGCTCTGAGTTTCCCATGGTATTTCAACTACATGTTTTTTTTTCTCTTCCTAGGTCTTCCATGAGATGGTCAATGCTGGAGTAGAGCCAAACGTTCACACATATGGGGCACTGATTGATGGTTGTGGCCGAGCTGGGGAAGTGGCCAAGGCATTTGGTGCTTATGGGATAATGAGGTCTAAGGTACCCTGAGACGCTTTACAATCTCAATCTCTAGTTACTAATATTACTCCATCAACCTCTTGATTTCTGTGAAAGGGTATGGTTTCCTGTTTCTTCCTGCATAAAGTTTTCATGCTGATAAAATGTTACATGCAGTAGAAAGTGAAGCCAGACCGAGTTGTATTCAATGCGCTTATTACTGCATGTGGTCAATCAGGAGCAGTTGATCGTGCCTTTGATGTTTTAGGAGAAATGCTGGCAGAAACACAACCCATAGAACCTGATCACACTACCGTCGGTGCTCTAATAAAGGCATGCGCAAATGCTGGTCAGGTAAGGTTTATCATTTTCTTACAAAAATTGCAGGGTCAATTTCTTGAAATTTATGGTGCATGCAGTGTTTCTACTTCCATGTTATTTCTTTTATGTTTAATCAATTTAGATTGATCATTCTTGTAGGTTGATCGGGCACGAGAAGTATATAAGTTGGTCCATAAATATAAGATAAGGGGCTCCTCTGAGGTTTACACCATAGCTGTTAATTCTTGCAGCCAGACAGGCGATTGGGAATTTGCTTGCAGTGTGTATAGTGACATGACTAGTAAAGGCGTGGTCCCTGATGAGGTATTTTTTTTCAGCATTAGATCTTTCCCATGTCATGTTGACTTGAGCAATAAATTTTAGTTGAAATTGTCTCAACACTGGTCGACTTGTTTTAGAATCTAGTTGTCACTAAATTTATTTGGTCTACATAAGATATGGAATCAAAATGGTCTGTAGAAGAAGTGGAAAATACAGATGAATTCCATTTCAATCAATTATTCTGAGCGTGTTAAGGAGATTTTTTTTTATTGGTTTAGAGAGGTAGGAAATCACATGGGTCTTTAGGAGGGGAAGTTACAGCTGTGTTCTCCTTCAGTCTATCCTTGATTGTGTTTAGGAGGAAGGAAACAGATTCTAATGTGTTATGTGATCTTTTTATTCAGTCATACGAGATTTACTTTTCCGATACAATTCTTCCATAAGCTTTTGGACTTCATGCAGATGTTTCTCAGTGCACTAATAGATGTTGCTGGGCATGCTGGAAAGCTAGATGCTGCCTTTGGTATCCTACACGAAGCTAGAAATCGGGGAATACAAGTTGGAACTGTATCTTACAGCTCATTGATGGGTGCCTGTAGCAATGTATGTCTTACATAGGCATTTCTGTGGTAAATTAATTAATTTTTTTATTTTAAATAGTTAGGCGTAATTTGTTCATAGGTAAGTTAATATGGTCCAAACATGCAAACTGAAAATGAATAGAAATTCAAACCTATTTAATAAAATCTCAAAATCAAGAAAACCAGACTGAATTTTGTGCTATGTTTTTCATTTTGTATTGAATAAATTAATATTTATATGTATAGTGTGTTTTCATACCTTCCATACCAAGTTCAAAGGCGAAGGCCTTTTATTTGAATTTCTCCCCATTGGTTCAGCTTGTGTAAATCTGAGGAGAGTGTTAATCATGTTTTTCTCCATTGTTCTTACTCAATATAGTTGTGGTGGAAATTGTTTCAGGAAGTTAGAGCTAGTTGGGTCATTCCAAAGGGTTGTTTCGAGCTTCTAAGCACCAAGTTTGAGGCTTTAGGAAAGGGGAGGAAAGCTAAAGCTTTGTGGGGCTGTTTGGTGTTGGCAGTTTTTTGGAACATTTGGTTGGAGCGAAGAGTTTTTGAGGATTATAAAGGAGTTGGGGTAGCATAACTATGGGGTAGAGTAAGATACTGGCCATCAGTTTCAAATGAGTTCAGGAATTATTCTTTTTTCTCGTATAGTGTGGGATATGTTAGCAGCCGTAAAATGATTTTGGTTGAGTTTATGTTACTTGATAATAGATCTTCTTGAGAGGTCTTAGCTAGTGTGGATTTCTTATCCGCTATTTTGTAATTCATGTTATTTTTTAATAAAGTGTTGTCGTTTCTTGTCAAAAAAAAAAAAACCCCTCAGTATTTTGTGTCCAAGTATTTGTCATTAAGAATGCTCCATAGTAGCTTCTAACGATTTCTTCGTTGTTTTTCAACCCAATACAATTGTAACATACTGTTTGAAATGTCACTTCTGCATGGTGCTGAAGTGGCTTAGAGGTCTAGGTAAACCATACACGGAGAGTAATTGTGCAATCAGGTGACGAGGAGAAAAAATCTTGGGATTAACTTCCATACTTATTTCCATTTCATGTAGACCTTTTTTAATGCAGCTAAACATTCTTTAATTATAATTATAACACATTTCCTGTTTTTGTTTCAGGCTAAAAACTGGCAGAAAGCACTGGAGCTCTATGAGTATCTCAAGTACACCAAAATTGAGCAATCTGTTTCAACAGTCAATGCTTCAATCACTGCCTTGTGTAAGTCTCTACATGTTTCCGTATTGTCTTTCCAAAATAATGTGGGAATAGGTAGGATAACGTTTCCTTCTGTTTTGTGAAATCCTTAATTGCCACATTTTCTGAGGCATTTATGTAGAATACGTCTCTGTGCGTTGGCAAACTTAATTGAGATGCCAATATTCACACTTTAGGTGACGGGGATCAACTACAGAAGGCTATGGAAGTTCTATCGCAAATGAAGGGATTAGGATTGCGTCCAAACAGCATAACATACTCCATACTTGTGGTGGCAAGTGAAAAGTGAGTCTTCTAGAGTTGATGTAGTGCTTATGATAATTACTGGTTTGTATGTCATTTCTAATGGAAATGCAAATGTGCACCTGTTTTTCTGTGCACCCTGTTTGTAGAAAGGATGACCTAGAATCTGGCCAAATGCTCCTTTCTCAAGCCGAAAAGGATGGGGTTGCTCCAAACCTTGTCATGTGTAGATGCATTATTGGTGAGTTTTATACAGTAGTTACTGAATTCTTTGTCCTTTTGGGTTTGGCTTCTGAATGAATATAAATTCATTTTCCCCACATTGATTTGCAAACTGATACTCCATTGTAATAAGGGAATAACTTTGAAAGAAGATGCCAAAATAGTCATCTATTATAACCTTCAATAGAACTTTTAACGCTTTACCGAACTTATGTTTGTTTTGTTCACGAGATGCCTAGTCTTGCCAACAAATCACCAGCTTGAATTCCTACTATTGTGATGTCTCAAATTCATTTTCTAATCCTAGCCATCTTTAAAGTTAATCTCTACTATATTTAGGTTGTATTATTTTCCCTATTTGATGTGCATAGATACCAATTTAAGCTAATATTAGTTATGAGATGGTGTTTGGTTGAGCCTTTCTTGTTGTGTTAGTGATCTGGTAAAAATATGTAACCCTCTTACTGAGACTTGACTTATGTCGGTATTGTGAACTGGTTTACTTCAATGTTTTTCCCATAACAAGTTTCTCTTTGTAAGAAAGTTCAAAATGAGATGATCTCTAAAGCGATGTTCATTTAGATGCGAAGAGAAGAAAAAGAAAAAGTACAACTTGAAAATTATAATCCGTAATCATTACTGAGATAAAATATATGCACAGATATAATTACGATTAATTATAGCATTGTTAGGTAGTGGAGATACGTATGAGTTATAGATAGGGTATGCATCTCCTTTTCCAATTGCTTTGATTCTGTGCTATTCTTTGATCTTTAAGGAATGATGAATTGGACAGTTGCACTGTTTGTTGTTCAAACATTCATTTGTTTAATTTCTAATTTACGTTGCATGTGTATTGTCTTTTACACCTTTATATAACCTTTCATCTCTTTGAAGGCATGTGCTTACGGAGATCTGAGAAGGCATGTGCACTTGGTGAACCTGCTTTGTCGGTTGATCGGCCTCAAGTTGATAGTGAATGGTATTTGACACTGACTTATGTGATGGTTGTAAGACTTTTGGTTGTTGGAGCTTAGAAAAGTAAAATAATGTATTTGGAAGGTGTTCTCCAGTTGTTTGGTATGCATGAAAATAAAAACACTTAACGGCAAAAGCTATATTACTGATCTTCAGACTGTCACTTCTATACTCGTATGTAATGGTATACCTTTATAAAGAGGTTTGTGATCCCTAAGCAGAAAAGGGGGGAAGGAGAATAAGAACTAGTATCTCTGTGTTTGTCCTAAAAGTTCTACGTACCAAATAAAAAATCATAATTTATGTTTATAGGCTAAAATCAGTCGTCTGACCAGTTTCTATATATTGCATTGTTTCTATAGGGCATCTTTGGCCTTAATGGTCTACCGCAAAACTATTGTAGCTGGTAATGTTCCCACCATTGAAGTTATATCACAAGTTTTGGGATGCTTGCAGCTCCCTTACGATGCGTCATTCAAGAATAGGCTTATAGAGAATCTTGGTGTATCTGCCGACACATCAAGACCTTCAAGACCTTCAAACCTTTGTTCATTGATAGATGGGTTTGGTGAATATGACCCTCGTGCATTCTCATTACTTGAGGTCAGTTGGAAGTTAAAATTTTCAGTGCGTTTCTTGAACTCTTGAGTTATTGCAAAACTAAATGTAAAACTTTTCATAATGTTCCGTACTTGAAGGAAGCTGCTTCACTTGGAATTGTTCCATGTGTATCCTTCAAAGCAAGTCCTGTTGTTATTGACGCAAGGAAGTTGCAAATGCATACTGCGGAGGTGAGTTCTCCCATTAGTTTCCATGCAACTTTCTCTTAACTGCGAAGGTAACAGTTTGTGTTTTGTGATATTTCTGAAGACTCCTCAGAGAAAGTTATGTTAAGGGTTGACCTTTCACTCAGTAAACAGGCCTTTCTTTACATGTTTTCTGGATTCTCTTTTTAATCTTTGGCTTTTCTAGGAATCTATATTTTCAGTTTCCTTTAAGATTTCTGAATTTGATAGCTTGTCTTTAGTAACATAAACATAGCTATCTGACGAGTATGTCAGTGAGATGAAAGAGTGAGAGAGACCCAGACCTCCCTAAAAAAGGACAAGTGATGCGTGAATTACTCATGAAATCATGTTTCAAACTTGGCAGGTTTACATCTTGACCGTTTTGAGAGGTCTCAGACATCGACTTGCTGCTGGTAATAGAAACTACATATCTTTCTGCTTGTTTGAGGAAAAAAAAAAAAAACGATAATTGACTTTTGACTTTCAAGTCAGTTCAGTGCCAAGAACATTGAATTGAAAGAAATTGTGAAAATTAAGATTTCAGAGAACGGAAATTTAAGATAAAAAGGTGAGCCTTTCTTTTGTATGAAGCCGAAATCTTAATTGCACCCTTACTGTGGTATATCTTGCAGGTGCAAAGTTACCCAACATGACCATTTTACTGCCTGTAGAGAAGACACAAATTGTGTCTACTAAAGGGAAGACAATCAACATTGCCGGAAGGTGAAAATTATTACTTAAACAGTTATAGCATGCAATCAAATGAGCCTTTATGCAACTTCTATTTTATTAGTCTGACAGCATGTAAGTCTAGTAAGATGAATTTACGCCACACTGATAAGTGCACGCTAGTAACCAAGATAAGAAAAAGCGCCTTTAAGATGACAACATATATACATAATTTGTAGCTATTTGTTTTGAAGATCAAATCATCGAATACATGGCTAATGAGTAATGACTACTCTCTAGGCTTTTCAAAATAGAAAAATAAATAAGCACAACAACTAAACCTACATGTATCAAATTCTGCTACACAAGTACGGAAGTCTTCAATCGTGTTGAATACCAAATTATCAGCTACCTAATGCTATATAACATTTATTCGGATTTCCATTTTCGAGACATGCTCACAGATAGACTTCACTAATCCTTCTCAAAGGTCAAGCTTTATGTTAAACAGTCGATCAAACCAGGTTTCAGGTCCAAGTGAATGATTCCCTAGGTCGATTTATAGGAAACGTTTTTTTGGGGTAACATATGTACTAAAACTGCATGCACATCATCTGAACTCGCCCAAAATTCATGGATTCTCAGGGAAGTGTATATTGTTTATATTATTAATGTGAAGACCACTTTGTTTGACAGGATTGGGCAGTCAGTTGCAGCATTATTAAGAAGGCTTGGGTTACCGTACCAAGGAAATGAATCACATGGAAAAATTAAAATCAGTGGGTTAGCCATGAAAAGATGGTTTGAACCAAAGCTTGCTTCTTTCACTGGAAAACCAGGAGAATTTGGCTCCTCGCAGTTACAGCTGGGGAAGGGAATCACACACCAGCAGCGGGACATTCGAACTGGCAATCTGTCCTTGGAGTAAAGGGGGCATAACTTAAGTAGACATTTTAGAAGCATCTAATCCAGTTTTCCTAACCTCGGCTGATGCTCTATAGTACACATGCATACCTTCCGGCAACCCCAATCTTATAAATTCCTTCAAACTTGGGACACAGGATTTGGAAGCTTCTTTCTTGCATAGAGTTTGTAGAAGAGTAACGGGAGTTTTTAGAGTGAGCAGAGTGACAGCCGAGGAGTAATGGAGCGCAAAGAACATGAGGTTGCAAAGGGAGAGAGGTGTAACGTACACAGGTCATCATTCCAGTGTCTTTGTGGTACCTTGGAGTTGGAAATTGGTGATGACCCCTTCAAAAATGTATGCTTTAAGACAATAAAAAGTGAGGGAAAACAGCAGTACAGAGTTGTACTTGTGTGTTCATTACCATCACGGAAGTTGAAATGTATGCTTATGACAGTGTCAACCTTGTTTATATTTATATATACCATTATAGAGTTATCCCTCCCTCTCTCTCTCTCTCTCTCTCTCTCTCTACTTTGTTTGATATACAATTGTAATAGAAAGACAAGAAAACCGATTTATGTGACTCTTAAACTCAAAATAAAATATTTTTCTTTTCGACAAACGATTTTTGTTTTTTTTTTTTAACAAACGATATTATTTACACTAAGCGGAAGCTGATTGAGTATAGCCTCACGATAAACTAGCAAGAATGTGGTTCAAATTCGCTTTTGGCAAAATTGAATCTAATACCTCTCATTTACAAGTGAATAAGAATATCATTAGACCGTGAAAACAATGATGTTAAATTAGTACGCAATTCAGTTTTGATCTGCAATTGTAATTGAAACTGAAAGATAAGAAACCAGTTTCAATTAGAAATTATTGGATTAAAAAATTAATTAAAATATTTAATCAATTATCATGGAGGTTAAATGTCAAATGGGCTTCGAAATAGTTTCGGGTTTTAGCTGAGCCCATTAAGCCAAACCCACTTATAACAAGAAGTCAACAAGTTACTTCTGTTGACACAAGGCCTAAAAGGCCATAGCAACCACATGGTACGTTTTAGCCAGGGTGTTGTTTTGTTTTTTTGTTTTTTTTGAAAACTGCCAGGGTTTTGTTTGGTGTGATACAAAGCTCTATAGAGTCTACTCTTGCCTCACTCTCTCGTTAAGCGTTATGACTGAACCTCTTAGAGAAGTAATGTGATTACGATTGTACCAAATCCAACCCAAGATAAACAATGTACCATTACTTGAACACTTTGCAAAAACTTGATTAGAATAATGCTGGCATTCCTTACACTGTGTCAAATATATGAATGGGTCATCGCTAATATGTGATTTGATACTTACAATGTTGATTTATTTGATACATCTGAATAACTAAATGATCTGCAATTCGATTGGTTTTTTGTAGGAATGATTTTCAAATGAAGATTAAGACAATGAATGATTCCGATTATGAACTTTCTAAAGTGAAAATATGTTATTTGCAAGTCGAAGAATGAGTTCATCTCCAAAAGAGAATACAAGTATTATTCATCGAATGCAATGTGGATTCAAGAGTTACCTCTATTGAGTCACTTAGTACTACGGTCTAGCGGTATTCATCTTCATTTGTAAGTGAGAGGTCTTAGGTTCGATTTCTCGTCAAAAGCGAATTTGAACCACATTATTACTAGTCCATTATGAGGCTTATCCTATTTCCTCACCCTTTTAGTATAGATAACATCGTTTATTAAAAAAAAAAAAAAAGGGGTTACCTCTATTAAGGGTCCCTAAAAATAAACAAATACATTTGCCCTTAACCTCTTGTGCTGCCCCCACATGTTCCATTGCTGAGTATCAAATTGAAGAAAATGTGAGGCTGCTGAAAGCACGTTCCTAACTAAATTCAAGAGCAGCCTGCATGGACCGAATAAAAGAAAACAAAACCATGTGATGCTATTGTGCTAAAGAAACGGAGGCAATACATAATTAAGCTGTTGGTGCAACATTTCAACAATATGGATATTCTAGTTATAGACCATCGATCTCCTGGAAATATAATATATATATATATATATATATATAGGGAAGTATTATTGACATTTAAAAAATTTCATTCTACAATTCTCACAAGTGTATTTTTCTTTCTAAATATAGAAAGTTTGGAGTGTAAATGAGAAATTTGGAGTGCCAATAACAATTCCCTATATATATATATGTATGTATGTATGTATGTATGTATAATTAGTAAGGTAACACGGCATCAACAAATTAAGTTAATACATTGTAAGGTAATGCCGCATTAACTAGTCGTTTGAGTCCATTCTACAATATAATTTTATGATCCATACTGTTTATTTTAAGTTATCAATAAAATATCATTCTTGCAAAAATTCACTCAAATCCAAGCGGTTTAGCCAATATTTGATTTATTATTATAAATATTTCCTTGCAAAAATTTATCAATATTGTGTTCATTTATTCAACTGAAAATATGACTTTAGCCCCTGAAACTCAAGTTTCTTTACATAAAACCCGACATAGTCTTTTTATCTGAATAAAACCCAATGACTAGGCTCCACATAAGTAAATTCATTAATTTTGTTTGCCTTTACACATTTTTCATTTTTTAGATACCTAAAATACCCCTAATTACCGTTTTGATGTAGACATTTAATTCTATGCATATTTGAAGGCAGAAATTAATAAAAAGAAATGTATTAATGAAGTCGCTATCATTTCAACTCTTGCATTATTGTATGTCGTCTTCTTGACATTAATAAAGTCGCTATCATTTCAACTCAAAAAAAAAAATAAATAAATAAATTATAGAATAAAAAATGTTATTTGATTCAAAATAAATTTATCTATATTTTATATGATAATATAGGTAAATTTTTCCACACATATATATTAGTAGTAAAATATGCCCAATATATATAATAATGCATGAAAATAATTCACCAACAAATAAAGAAAATTTGATTAAAAATTAATATATCTATTGCTTTTTGTTTATGAATTTCAATTCTTTTTTTATATTACAAACATAATGTACCTACAATATAATTTACCTATTGTTTAATCTTATAAGCAAATAATGTATCTACTATTTTATTTTATTTATTTATTTATTTATTTTTGTTTTTGTCGAATATGTACTGTTTTATTTTAATGGAGATAATTTGTCTTGGTTTAATTTTTACGAAATTATTTATGCACTGTTTAACTTTCCCAAAATAATGGAACTACTATTTTAATTTACCTACAAAATAAATACTATTTGATTCAAAATTAATTTACTTATATTTTAAATATAAATATAGATAAATTATTTTTAACAAGCATATATGATAACAAACAAAAAATGCCTAATGTATGTAATAATCTAGGTAAAATAATTTACCTACAACATAAAAGAACATTAATTGGTTTTTTGTTGTTTTATAAAACAATATTATTATTTGATGCAAAATAACTGATTGTACAAAGGATTTTTCTTTCCAAACGAAAAATGTGCCCATAAATTGTTTATCAACATAGCTAAATTTATATATATATATATATATATATATATATTCCTAATATTTATCATACAAGAAAGGTAAAATTTTCATATGGGGTTAATTGCTAATCATAATTAGGGTGGGTAATAATATTTATTGACATAACTAGAGTTTTGTGGCATAAGTTGTAAATATGTGATGATAATTGGTTACATATTTGTCTACATGGTACTCCATTTGAAATTTAGGTTTTATTTGGAAGTTTAATATTATGTGGGTTTTTGCTTGGAAAATAAGAGTTTCAAGGGCCTTTTTCTAAAGAACCCCATTATATTAGCATACTAACTTATTAGCGCCGTATTATATATACTTTGAATTGCACAAAGTTAAATTAAATACATGTAAGTATTGTAGTTAAATCCTAAAATTAATTAACAAGGATCTCAGTCACCAAATCATAATTCAATTCGAACTTTCCCTCCTAGCTACTAAATACATGTACAAAAATCTTATATGAGGTCTCCACCATTCCGAAGTCTACCAAAATTCTCCATCATCTTTGTAATCTGGCAATTCCCAGCTCGTAAATGAGACTAATGAAAGTCTCTTCTTTGCATGGAATTGTTAGACCCCCCATTGGATGGTTGAAGCCAAACTCTTCTTCTGCGCTCTTAAGCAGGACCTTAAACGAAGGATGGTTCAAGTAAGCCACTGGAACCACATACCTCTTCTTTCCAAATTCTCCAACATAAACTGCAACATGGCCTTTCGGGACTTCATGAGATGACGACCAAGACTGCAGTTTGAGAATGTGCTTCATCATACCCATGATATATGAAACCCTAAAACGACTTGAAAATTTACAGTTGAACTTGGAATGATGGGGTTTTCTAGCTAAATTTGCTTAATACAAAAGCTGTTTTTTTCCTTAGCTGCTTGTTATAGAAGCTATAGTAGTAGTGTGAAACCCAAATGTTTGTGCCTCTATTTATAGAGTCGTCAAATTTTTGAGTAAGTTGGAGTATGAGGTCAGGGATCAAAGACTGTCACATGGGTTTGCTCATCTTGGCCTATCTAACCGACTTTAAATATGCAGAAAAGCCCTACTTGTTCGTCTGAATATCCTTACATTATGTAATGGTCCAAATAATAAAGAAAAACTCATGGCTGCTGCCACTGCCACTGTCCACAAATAGGTCCATATGTCACGTAACTTTAATGCGTATCAAAACCAGGGATGCCCTACGCCGGAAACCATGGAATTGGAAAGCAACTCGGCATTCAGCAACATCCATGTGAATGTTATTTTGAAAAAGAAAAATAATATAAACTGCAGCTTATATTTGATGAAATGTGCTCACTTTTACTAGTTGTGTTACGATTTCGGAGTTTTGTTCACAATTGAAACAATCATGGTCGAGATCTTATTAACAATTGGTATGATCATCATATGAACCCGCTTTGATACTATTTTAAGATTTTAGAATTGTGCAAATAACTTGCTACTAATCGCACTAATATTATCACAGCTCAAACAATCTGCATAATTTGACATGTGTTAAATCTTATCACAAAAGACTTTGATATTGTTAGGTACTATATAAAGAAGAATTGAATTATCCAAATAAGTTGACCGTCTGACTATTTTTTTGCTCTAACCAACCCCGGCAGCGGTCTAAAATTTGGTCTCATCTGTCCTCATTATCCAATGCTCACTACTCCGTGCTTATCCATATACATATGAGAATGACTTATTAATAATCGAATCAATACTATGCTTTTTTTTTTTTGCCATCTAAATGCACACATAATTGTTAGACTACAGAAGTATAATATTATATAATAGTGTACTATATCTGTAAGTCTGCTTCTCTAGATTATGTTTAGTGTTGGCTAGCGGCTTGGTTTTATGACTCGGCGCTAGTGTGTTTTTTGAGTGGTCATTGACGTTCCTCTTTACTGTAGCCTATATTTATCTTTTGTATCTCGTCGTTTTCTTTTGTGGGTCTATCATTTATTCCAGTCATTTCGAGGTTGCCCATGTTTGGGTGACTCAAGGTTAATACCGATGGGTTTTGTACCAACACATGTGTAGGATTTAGGGGGATTTTTCGCTCATTAGAGGGTGGGGCACTTGGTGCTTTGCATCACACACAAAATTTGTTGCTGCAGAAATTCTTGCTTTGATTGTGGTCATGTTTATGACTTGAGTCAGAGATTGAAAACATTTATGGATTGAAACAGACTCCCTGGCTATTCATTATCTTTTCAAGGCTCCTAATACTGTCCCTTGGTTTCTGATGGTGGATTAGAAAAATTTTCTCTTGCGACTTCGTCAAATGCGATCTACGTGTACACATATTTATAGAAAAAAAAAAATCAGGTTGCATATGCTTTAACTTCATTTGGGGTAGATAGTTATACTTATTACTGGTGGTTTACGATTCCAAATTAATTTGTAGCCTCTGCAGATGCTCGTGACATTTCACTTTGTCCTTATTTTCGTTTTCGTTGATCATTTGGTCTTTACGAGTCTTGGTATAGTCCTTTTGCTTGTATTTTTTTTTTCATTTACTTTCATTATTATCAGTAAATTTGGTGGAGGAGGGATGAGCAGGGGGTTTCTAAATGTAATGGTCCTCTCCTCTTTGTGGTAGGGTACGTGTCTCCCACACGACCATTGTTAAAGAGCTAATCTCACATAATCTTTTTTTATCTAATATATATATATACACACACACACATGTTTAACATGTTACCTCTTATGTTATCTCATGACCAAAGGTGTCAACAACCCGGACACGGGGGCAGCGGAAAAATTAACCTTATGCCCGTTGCGCGAGTACAAATACAATAAAATAAAACAAAACAAAAATAAAGTTCTCAATACAAATAATCCGAGAAACCTTACAAGTGTATAAAAATAAAACAAAACCATAAATCTCTCCTCTAACACAACCTTAGCTCGTATACTCTTCATTAATCTCGTACCAAACCTACAAAGTCTAAAATGTACAAGGTGAGCGAAACCACGGCTCAGTAGGGACTTAAGTATTATCAAGGATAATTGTCAAGGCTAAATCAAATGTGAGGCAACATGTAAATCAATTATATCATGTTAACAAACATAAATTATATTTCATGAATGCATCTTAACTTCAATACCATGCATTTACCATTAATTTATATAATAAAACAAATGGACATGCACGTCACATACCATGCATTTACCACTGCAGCGGTGGTCCGTAAGCTTTATCATGTAAACTTAACGCCTGTAACTTTGTCATTCCAAATTTCCCTTTTGTTATTTTGTCATCTAGTTCTTCTCTCGATCACCAGAGTCCCGACTACTTGATACAACTTGTCCAAAATATTTTATACGTTGTATGTAGTTTGCATGAAAAGTATTAGTTTGAATATTTGTGGTTCTGTTTGTGTGTGTGTGTGTGTGTGTGTGTAGAGAGATAAGAAAAGAAAAGAGTGGAAGAAATACATTATGTTAGGAGATTGTTCGTGAAGCTTGGCACTTGGATTGGAATACAAAGTTAGGCACTAGCTTTAGAATTGAGGTAGAGGTTTCTTGGAAAACTTATCAATACTAGGGCATTTGTCTTGCTTAAGCTTTATGAAATATGTGTTCTATTTTGTATGTTTATAACTGATGTAATTGTTTATATTGGAACTTTGACATATTATTGTTATTTTCAATAATATGAATATTATGATAATGGTGATTATATGCATATATTGTTGCTTATTGGAGTGGATGGACTTTAATGGAATATTTAAAATTGAGATATAGAAATGAAACTATTTTTTGTGTGGTTGAGTTTGACAATTATAAGGACTAGCATGGATGACAAAAGTGAAATTAGGAAAAAAGCTAGATCGATGAATCTAGCATATCATGGGACACGTTTTGTAGCTCCACATAGCATATGGCCTTATCTACATATCTATATGTCAACCAACAGAAATTAAAATGTTGATGTGCAAGAGTGAATAATATGCATATAATGCATTTGATCAGATCATCAGAGTGAGCAAGTGCGTGACTCTGAGTGTGAAATTAGTAAACAAACTCATAAGGATAATGGTAGGGAAATCAAACGTTTTAAATCAAATTTGTAAATCAAATAATGTTGTTGTTGATAATTGGATTATTACTTAAGCATTGATTAACATGTTTATTTTCTATTGATGACACATCATTTAGTTTGCCAATTTAGTTTAAAACTTTGGTCTCTCTAGCATTACCCAACTCATAAATGCTAACGGAAGATGATGAGTGTCAGTTACATATGGAGTCCATGTGTGATGAATTTCAAAAATTAATCATTACCCTGATACAGCTAGCTAGCTAGGGACAGAAGAGGATCCTCTCTGAACCCACTTTGTGGGAATCCTAGGGATCTTCACATCATAGTTGTTCATCATACATCAGGCGATCAATTTTCGTCAGATACTATTTGTGTTTAATTTTAAATAAAAAAGTTAAATAATTTTTGATCGCATGATGCACAATGTATCCGGATGGGATCCAAATCTGCTAGGGACAACGTCTCACATAGTCACATGTTACTGAAAAGTGAAAATAGCTAGTTTAATTTGCCCACCGTTTTTTGGCATATGCACTGGTGGCCACTGTAAGTGCATGTCGAGACTCTGTGGTTTGAAGTTTGATGCAAGCCGCCAAGGAGATGAACAATAGTTAATAACATCGTCTAGGTGGGTACATTGAGCCTGTAGAAACCGTATATTCTACAATATTAATATTGGCATTCATTGACTCTAAAACCATCCTTGAAGAGCCTTAACCATGTTAACTGCCTAGCTAATAGAGCCTAACGAGAAATTTTGTTGTATTCTGAACACCATATAAAACACCATGAGTTATAATATAAGTGAATCACAAGATTAATATGTCTCACTTTATGGTTAAGTTGAGAACACCTCTTATTTGAATTATAGTTGAACCTTTATAAGCTAATAGCCTTGGAACCAAAGAAATCTTTTAATTTATCAAAGTATTCCTTATTTTATAAATATTGTACATTGTATTTAGTTTCTTGTTGACGAACTAACAATTCTATCTATTTTTTTAACCAAGTAAAATTCATGAATCTACTTTCTTCTTTTTTTTTTTTCTTAGAAATAGATTATACAATGTTAAATGCACTACATTATTCTATTTTGTGAACATTATCGTAATGGAATGGATGTCAAGGACCTCTTGAACTACCCTGGAGAAAACACAACTTCAAAGTTGTTGACTGACGAACATATAATTGAGAGCACCATGAGAAGATCAAGAAGATGAAGTCGAAGGTGATAGTTCTAATATGAAGCCCATTTCGCAAAAAGAAGCTCTCAAAGTGGTGACGACATTGAATCATTTTTGTTGCAATATGAGAAAACCATACAAGAACTTATCATGTTGAAACAAGGATTGAGTCATATTTTAGTAAGGTCTCACACTTGAATCATAATGTAACTACCCGTCCTTAAAAAATATGATTTTTATAATTTTTAAATGTGAATTTACGAAAATGCCCTTCGAGGAAAAGTGTTGACTCTTGTTGACTGCCGTGTCGTGTCATGTAAGACTCGTTTTCTTGGCGTATTCTCATAGTACTCGTCGCTACGAATGCATGTGCGCAAACAGAATGTAATTTGGAGTTATAACGAAGATTCTACAAACCTTTAAACGTCGAGGATATTTTGGTAAATTAATAATTAATTGAACATGTGGTATTTTGTTGGACCGTTGGATGAGTGCCACGTGGGCCCACCCCCACTTTTCTGGAACACTCTCTCTCTTTCTTCCGTAGCTCTTCTCTCTACTTTCTTAACTCTCTCTCTCGGCTCTTCCTTTCTCCCGTGAAACAAACCACCATCATCACCAAATCTTTCGGCTTGTTGAACATCAAAACCACCATTATCTGCATGTCTTCACCACCATAAATCTAGTTTTGAGTTTTGTTTCATTGAAAACGAACGCAAAACACGAGTTCGAAGAACAAGGTTTTGGGTCGAGACTTCTAGGCATGATTCAGATAATTTCTAGCCATATTTTGAACTCTAAACATATAAGCTTCAGGTGAGTGCATATTGATGATAGTAATTGCAGTATGTATGGTTATGTTTAGATGTATTTAGTGCTCATTATCTTGCACCTCGGTGTTAGTGCTCCATCCGAGGCCAAGGCCTAGCCTTCACGTGATCATTCACCTCCCGCACCACACGCTCACCTTGGATCCAAGGCAGGTGCCAGCCTGTCGTATAGACACCATTAGGTGGTTCCGATTCGTAGGTAACTTATGATTTATCGCACAGCCTTCACGTGATCGTAGCACTTTAGCGTATTTATTTACACTCAGCCTGTCATACATACCATAATAGGTGGTTCCGACTCATGTACAGGCATATTTGATGAGCTATAGGTTCAGCTGTACAGGTCACATTAGGTGACTCCGACTGACACATTATTTATATTGATTTATTTCACCTGACTTACTTATTTCATTGCTGAGATACTTGACATGGCGCATACTTTGGTTTTCATTGCTCTCGAGCCTGGTTTCTTTATATGTATGTAGTATTATTTTCTGCGAAATTATACGGGTTTTGCAGTGAGGGGTTATTATCTTTGGAAAGAGAAATGGTTTCAAAAAGCTTTGTTTTTGCCTACTCACGTTTTCTGTTTTTCGCCCCTTCAAGTTTTGACTGCTAAAAATTCGTATTGACGAGGATTCTTGGCGAATCTCAGTATAGGTGGCTACCTCTTAGGGTATGATCTTTACCCACACCACTGTATTTTACTTATGCTCTAACGTCGCATGTGAAATGAGTTCATTCCCGCTCACAACGCACTTTTGTCTTTAGGCACTTTTAGGTTTAAATTTATTCATATTTTCCACATCACTACACTTTATGGCTTCGTCACCTTCCAGGTGTAGGCCAGCACCTTCGTCACCTTCCAAGTGTTGGCAAGCACAACTTGATTTGGAGTCCTAGCAGACATTCCGGGTTAGGATGTGTCACATAAGCAGTGTATATTAGGAAATTATTAATTTACATATTATGTGGAACATGTATGAATTTTTTATAATGTATTATCTTACAAATTATCAAATTATTAGTTTAGCACATTATCCTCAAATCAGAATCGATCAAAAATATTCTTTAACTAAAGTTATTAATTATTGAGTATTAAATTATCAAAGTTCAATTACAGTTTGTGCTAATGTGTTGCCCTCCAGTGCGCATGCCTCGTGTTTGGAAATATTGGATCTCATATTAGAGGTTCTAGGATGCTGCCGCCGGTTATTTTTTAGATCAGGATTTAGCATTAGATTTCTAGTCAAAGAGCAAATAAAAATTTTCAATTTGTCGGAAAATATAATATATCTAGTAGAATTTTGGCTCCGATATAAGTTGATATAGTCCAGGGTGCATTCGTAAGAGTCTAAGAGAGTCATTAATCGATAATATGCAGTGCATGTGGATGTGGGCATGCAATCACTGTCGTGATCTAATATGGGAGAAGAAGACGCAGCAGATGAGATTGATCTCTGAAGCTCTGAGCGAGGCAGTAATGCATGCAAGGAATAAGGAACAATTTTTAATACACTATTGTCAGACCAGAAAAATAAAATAAATAAAATTTAACTATTTTCTCATGTTGAAGCGACCCCTACATACAGGCCTGTTAGGCCAGGAGAGACTAATAGGGTCACATTACACAATCCAATAATTTCATCCAAATTTTGTATAAAATAAATCCTAAAAAATTCAATTTCATCTTAAAATTTGATGAATAATGTGTGGGAAGTAGCTCAACTTTTTATTAGCTCTTACAAATTTTTTATCTCCCAATGTGGGATCAAATAAATAAATCAAGAATGATAATTTTCGCACATCATTCTTAATTTCTCACACACCACTCTTTATTTATAACTGTTAAATTCAATGTATAAAACGAAAATAACTAACATGATTAAATAGGAGTGTAGAAGGCTAACAAGGATATGTTTATCATTTCCTTATCAAAGTCATTGCAGATAAATCTGTAACTTTACAAACTTTTGCTTTTGTAATACTTGTATAGGAGTCGGTTTGTAATCCTGTCGGCTGAGCAGAACAATGGCAACCATGAATTAGAACAATGTAATACCTCAAACCAACGAGATCAAGGAAGCCTTCAGTGAATTGGTCTAGAATTGCATCCACTGTTGGGCAATCAAATTTTATCACAAACATCATATTCTGGTTAGCCTTCTGCATTTTGCTGTTATCCATTTTATTGTTTCTACATTGTTAGTTCAGAATTAGACCATAAGGAGGTAGACATTAGGAAATAAGGATAAAGAACTTAACTAAAAATTACAAAAATATTAGGGAATAGTATTTCCAAGAACTTGCAATTAAAAAAATAAATAACAGACTGATAACTCATTGGTCTCATGTCTATTCCTTTCGCTTGTAGAATAGAAGTTGGAAAGAAGAATGAATTGGTTAAACAATTGACCATCATCAGGATTCAGGCCATATACAGAGTCAATGATTATTTTACGAACAATTTAGACATGAAGTTAGACTGATGAAGTAGTCTTCACTGCATGGAATTGTGAGTCCCCCAGTAGGATGATCATATCCAAACTCTTCCTCAGCCTTGTTTAACAATTCTTGGAACAAAGGGTGGTTCAAATATGATATCGGAATCACAAATCTCTTCTTTTCATCTTCTCCAACATAAACCGCAAAGTGGCCTTTTGGAACCTCAGTACTAGTACTGTCTGCAGCTGATCCATATCTTGCTGAAAGAGTTCTCTGAAGTTTCTGCTTGGCATGAGCTATTCCCATCAACTTGATTCCCATCTTTAGGAATGTTAAATAAACAAATGTACCACGAAGATCAAATCAAAATGGTTGAGACCTTGAGTGATTAAGTGAGAAATGCGGATTTGGCTTGAATTGGCTTGTTAGTACCTAAATATATAGGGGAGGAATTCAAACCTTCAAATGGATAAAATTGTAAGGTCCCTATTGAGAATGTTGTGAGAAACATATCAGGTGAAGGAGTTGGTGAAGTTTCACATGGACTGTGCCTTAATTAGCCAAGACATCCTGCCCTACAGAACTTTAGGAACCAATAAAGAGTGGTGCAAATTGAGGGATATATGGAGTGAGCCCCCTAACGCACGCCTCGTGGGGGCTTCTTCCGAATTTTATTTCAATAATCTTGCCATGGAGATTGTATTTTTCATTCTTTATTCAACAATCATCCTTGTAAGAAAATCAGACAAGTCCGAAACCAATGAGACATATAGGCTAAAATGTTAAATAGATGAACACGGTATTTCAAAAAAACGCTAAAATGATAACCAATTAATTTGAGTGGTTAATCTTGAACTTGAGCAACGATAAACTTTAAAAAAAGACCTCAAAACTAGACAGTTCAGATCATTGAAATTGAATGAAAAGTGACACCATAAAACAGCCCTTCAAATAAACATAGTTGAGGGATATCCCTTAAGTGAACCTATAGAGTCATCTGAGTAATGTTTCAACTAATAAAGCAGAGACCTTTCTGATGCTAGCCATGTTCTTAACATTAGAGGTCAGTATCCAATTAAAGAGGATATTCTGAGTCTGTGACTCATTGCGCATATACTTAAAGCACTGAACTTGGACGTACATGGGGCTATTCAGTAGCTTTTTTTATAGTGACAACCAGCAAAGAAGCCTTTTTGTGGTGACAGGCTCCCAAAATTAAGCCAATATATTGGTTGTCTACTTTCTGCTTAGACTTTCCCTTTGGATTCGCTAAACCATTACTTGGGACCCTCTTTGACTCATTCACATGGGATTTGGATCCCATCCGGGTACTTTGTGAGGATCTTAAGAATCCTCACATTCTATTCGTTTATCATATATTGTGCTGCTATAAATTATTTTGATTTTTTTTATAATTAAACATAAACAGAGTTTAACGAAAACTGTCCGCATGATATACAATGACCGGATAAAATGTGAACATCTCTAGAATCATTACAAAGAGGATTCGGAAAGCATCCTCATCCATTCACATGGAAAGTCTTGGTGGAGTGAGTAGAGTTGAACTAATCGTATCATCCAAGAAATCTCAACAGGCTTTTCAAATAACAATCTTATCTCATTTCAGATATATGTAAATTTCTTTCTTTTATTTTTTATTTTTTACTTTTTGTAAACAACTGTTTGATTTCCTGCGGTTTATATTGTTTATTATGTACTTGTGAAGCATCTAAAGCCCATACACCAAGTTCTGTCAAATTTTATTGTTTTCTAAGTCATATTTTTTGGTACCATCCATGATATCACAGCTGCACAAGATTCTATTAGCAAGTCCAAAGGTAACTTTATTAGGTTTCTTGTAAATTATACTGCTTTTAGAAAGGATTAGGAATGGATGAATATTAAAGCAGAGAAATAAATTAACATAAATTTTGTATGTAACATTTTTGTTGAGGATCATGACTGTAACTCTAAGTCTGAGACTCTGAGGACCAATCAACGTCAAATGTAAGTATTGTGGTTTATCCAACGCTGCGGTTTTGAAACAAAGAAATATTTTTGTAAATTAAAAAAAAATAAACTAAATTTATTGAGGAAAATTTCTTAGATTAAAATGAAGCCTTATGTTATAAGCTAAACTGGAACCATGATTCCTAGTTAGAACTTGAAGCTTTTGACACTTCTGTGTATAAAACCAATGTGATTTTTTCTATTCAGCAATAAAAAGCAAGTTTTACAATCCAGGCTATCAAAATGAAATAAGGTATGGGTTTAATTTTACATGTATATAATTTAGTATTTTATCTGGAGTTGTTTTATTGATGTAATGGTGGGGACTCTAGATAATTGTATTCTATTACAAATTATTATTTAGTTGTCACTGCAGCCTGTGAAGAAGAACCTTGAATGACACACCCCGATCTAAAAATTGGGGATTGCTGGCCGTCACGTGAAAGTGACGTAGTCAAGTGCGCAATGTGGAAGTCAAAGAGTGAAAATACAAGGAAAAATAAAGTCGACAAGATAATTTACAATAAAAAGATCAGTGAGTACTAGTGACAAACATGGAAGGAGAAAGGCAAAGTAAAAGTTCAAGTATCCTAGGTGTAGTCCAGAATAGACAAACACTATACAAGTGAACTAGAAAGTCCTGCACGGAGGGTGCTCTGTCAGAAATGCATCAATGCCTCTTTCGTCAACCACGTCCTCGCTACCTAAAACCTAGAGGGGCGCAAAACAGAAAACGTAAGTGGGCAAAAACAAAGCTTTTAAAAATCATTTCATTCTCAAAAGTTATAACCCCTTTCTGTAAAACCCGTATACTTTTCAGAAAATATTATACATACTCGTATATCAAATCATGCTAAAACGATATAGCTCAAATATGCCATGCCAGAATATGCCGCGTTAGAATATCCAAACAAATATTATAAGCATCAAGCAGGTGAGACAAAACAAATCATAATATGCTAATAATAGCAGTACATCAGCCGAGGTCACCTAAAGTGACCTGTACGGTTGAAACTATAGCTCCTCAACCATTATCCTGCACACAAGTCGGAAACACCTATAGTGATCTATACGATAGGCTGGTGTATATAAATATGCTCAGTGCTACGATCACGTAAAGGCACTGCGATGTATCGCAAGTCACCTGAGAGTCAGAACCACCTAAAGTGGTCTGTACGACAGGTTGACACCTGCCTTGGATCAAAGGTGAGCGTATGGTGCGGGAGGTGAACGATCATGTGAAGGCTAGGCCCTACTCTGGCGGAGCACAATCACCGAGGTATAGGAATATAAGCTATAACTCAATCTTATTAACACCACATCTATCACTAACAACATACTCACCTGACTTACCTGAGTGTCCGCGGCACCAAAGCATAACCAACACAATCACAACAATAATATTGACAATATTTGACATGGCATTTCAATTATAAAACCACTAAAACGTAATTTCTGGAAAGATACCAATCAATATATATATTGAAAACAAAAACCCACTCACTAATACGTAGAAGGATCGTACGCCTCAAGCCTCGCGTGGCTGCGCTCTTCCTCCGGATAGTCCTCACCTATATGTGAAACAACTATAAAACCGTCAATTTAACGCACATAACCAACCTTAGATAATAACTTCTCATACATTGCTCAAATAGAGTGTTTGAATATACCACCAAGCTCTACTCAACCTCACGAACATCCCCATATTTTAAAAATAATTTTCCAACCTCCCACGTGCCGGCCACATGAGGGCATGTGCCTGGCATGCATGTGGAAACCCTAACAGCGTTAGGGAATATTCCGTTAAAACCCTAACAGAAGTTAACGGCCATTTCCTGATGCAGTTAGAATATTCCGTTAATTCTGACGGAATATTCGCCTCCTTCTCCGGTGAGCCTAGCCGGTCGCCGCAGTCTGCAACTCGAATTTTCGCCGGTTTCTGGAAAAACTTCAAACCTTAATATCTTCTTCATTTCTCAACCAAATTCCATGAAATTTGAACCAAAATGAAGCTTACAATGAGTAGAACAAAACCTTACCACTTTGGGGACCTAAAACCAACGGAATCTCGCCGGAGGAACCTCAATAATTCGGCCAAACCTGCATCTCGATGAACTCAAGCTTCCCAACATCCAAAACACTTCAAAATTACTCCCTAAGCTTCATGAAGACGTCCTAAAGCTCCCTATAACCTTAGAAACTTCTAAAAACCTCACGATCATGTGTGCATGAACAGTGCACCAAAATTGGGTTCTCGGGTTTTTAAAGGTCTCATGTCCTAAAAATGGTATGGATGAGTTCCTGGGCTTGCAAGGAGTCCAAAACTAACCTTCAAACCTTCGATCCGTGCATGGAAAGTTAGTTTGAAGTTCGTCCGTACACTTGCAAAGGAAATGGAAGGAAAATGGAAGAAAGTCCGAGAGAGAAGGGAAAGAAGGAAGTCATGGGTGTGTATGTGTGGGTGTGTGGTCCAGATAGAAGCCCACCAACCAAAAACAAAACAAACCAAACACCCTACAACACAAATTAACGTCTAGGGGCAAAATCATCATTTCACACTTACGGTACAAATAATTCGGGATGGGCTGTCACAATCTACCCACCTTAAGAAAATTTCGTCCTCGAAATTACATAATAAAACAAACCACTAGTAATCATAAAACAAGTGGGGATACAAATCTCTCATCCGATCCTTCGTCTCCCAAGTAGCCTTCTCCACTGAGTGATTCCTCCACAAAATCTTCCCCAAGCGTACCGTCTTTTTCCTCAGAACCTTATCTTTCCAGTTTAGAATAGTCATCGGCTCTTCGTCGTAGGTCAAATCAGGATTAATTTCCAACGGCTGCGGAGGTAGCACATGTGATGGATCTGAGACATAGTGACGAAGCATCAAAACGTGAAATACATCGTGCACTTGAGATAACTCGGGAGGTAACTCAAGTCTATAAGCTACTTTACCGATCCGCTTAGTGATCACGTACGGTCCGATATACCTGGGACTTAATTTCCCCTTTTCCTGAATCGTACAACACCTTTCCACGGCGACAGCTTCAAGAATACCTAATCACCTACTTTATAGGTCCGATCAGTGGCATGCCTGTCTGCTAAGCTCTTCTGACGATCCTGGGCTGCTTTCAGCTTAGACTTGATTACTTGAATATTTTGGGTAGCCTCATCCACTATCCTTGGGCCCTCTAAAACTCTTTTGCCTACATCTGACCAACACAACGGTGTACGATAGGATTTACCATACACTGCCTCGAAAGGTGAGATACCAAGGCTCGAATGGTAACTGTTGTTGTAGGCAAACTCCATCAGATCCAGACGTCTATGCCATGCATCACCAAACTGCAAAATAGAGGATCTCAGCATATCCTCCAGTATTTGAATGGTCCTCTTAGATTGCTCATTAATTTGAGGATGATATGCCTTATTATACAGTAATCTCGAACTAAGAGCTTCTTGAAATGTTATCCAGAATTTAGAAGTAAATCTT